TTTTCCCGGGGGTGTGGCTGGTCAGAGCATCCGAGCTCGGACTGCTGTCCAGAGCGTCAACAGAGTGGTGCACTGTGGGATAGCTCCCGGAGCTATTACCGTCGATTTCCATCCACACCTAGCCTAATTCGATATGGCCATGTCGAATTTAGCGCTACTCCTCTCGTTGGGGAGGATTACAGAAATCGATTTAAAGAGAGCTTTATGTCGAACTAAATGGCTTCCTGGTGTGGACGGGTGCAGGGTTAATTCGATATAACAGCGCTAAAGTCGACATAAAAGCCTAGTGTAGACCAGGCCTAAGTGGCATGAGCTGATCCACGTGTGGATATGTAAAACGGATTCAATTACTATACATCCCTGGAGCTTAGGTCAACTTAATTTTGTGGTGTAGACTTGCCCTTAGTGAAACTTGGCCTTTAGTCAGAACATGCTATAGAAAATACACAGTAATCTTACAGTATAGCAGTAATAGGATTAACTCAGTTATCCCATTGGACTTGTTCTTAAAGTATATTCCTTAAATAAAACCCAGTAGAAATACCACAGTGGTCCCTCAGAGGACTAGTCACAGACTCTATACTAGAGCTGGATTAAATGTTTGTTTTTTTAAACCAAAGGTTATTCTTTTTTTTTTTTTAAATTCAAGTTCAGTGAAGTCAAACACTTTTTGGGGGGTGGGGGAGGGGACACACAACTCCTGTGAAGTGCAGGAGGTTTGTGCATTTTTCAACCAAGGAAAACATGAGATTCTAAGGCCTGGTCAGCACTACAAACTTAGGTCAACATAAGCCATGTTAAGTCAATCTAATAATGTCTGTGTCTACACACTACCACGTCCCTTCTGCTGACCTAAGTGGCCTGTAAAGTCGACTTCTGTACTCCACCTCCGCGAGAGGTGTAGCGCTTGATTCGACATCCATGGATCAACATGGGGATAGTGTAGACACTGCGTTGTGTAATTCGAATGAATTGGCCTCCAGAAGCAGTGGCGAAGCCAGGTTTTAGCAGCAGGAGGAGCAAACACATAAAAAAAGGTGCCACCTGCTGTGAAGGAAAAAAGAAAAAAAATTTCCACCTGACCCCCCGCCGAAGTGCCGCCAAAGTCCCAGAGCAGACCCGGAGCGGGGCTTGGCAGCTGGGCTGATGGCCCAGCGGGCTGGGGCAGGTTCCCCACGCCGAGTAATTGCCCCGTTGGCTTCCCTGGCACCTTCCGGAGGAGACTCACCACCTTCCACACGTGAATGAGTGGCTGGTGACCCACTTGCCCCGTGGTGAGTCTGGGGCAGAAGCAGGAGGCAGCCCAGGCGCCCTGGATCCACCCACAGGGCCTGTATTTCAGAAGAGCTCAGCACCCTTGTGCACCGAGCTTGAAGTTCCGACCCTGCCACCATACCCCCCCGCCACTCACCCCCTGGATGAGACGCCCTTGATCCCAGCCCGGCCCTGCAGCCCTTACAAAAGGTTTGTCTCAGCAGGGAGGGCGCTTGTGGTATATTTAGCAGTGGCTAGCTTGGCAGCCTCCACGGAAAGGCAGGAATCTGCTTTTTTTTTTTTTTTTATGGGAAAAGTTTTTTTTTTTTTTTTTTTTCTTTTAAAAAGGCTCCTCACCCTAGAAAGAGGGAGGCCTGCAGCATTGCGGTAGTCAGCCTCCCTCCCCGCCGCGCTTTGCGGCTGCGCTGCCACCCCCTCCCCTCCCGGCAGAGCCCACCCCTGCCTGGGAGGCATGCGCCAAGCGGGGCTTGGCCTAGGGAGCCGGGCAGCTGCGGGCAGGCGGGCGCCTCCTCCTCCTCGCCAGGGAGCCAGGCAACCAGTCGATGCCGCCTGCAGCTCCGGAGCGAGCGAGCGAGCCGGGCTGGGGATGCGGGAGGGCAGTGCGGAGCTGAGAGCCAGCCGTCGGCCGCACGCAAAACCCCGGAGCCCAGTGCTGGCTGCGCGGAAAGACACCACTTTTGGTGAATGTGCTCAGGGGGAGCGGCTGCTTTTGGGGTATTTATTCAGGACTTGAACTCAGAGCCTGGAAAATGCAGCAACAGCAAGAGAAACACTGAATTACACAACAGAGGAAGGAGATTACACAGGTAATGGTCTCTCATCTCCATCAGTAGGAAACACGTGAAAATGGGGCCCAACGTACTGCTCCAATACCTCCCCTCACACGCCTTTCCTAGCAGTGGAGCCCAACCTAAACCTGGGTGGTTCTGACACGTTCCTAGAGCTCCACCTCATCCTGAGCGACAGCCTTCCTTGACCTTTGCTTTCAATAACCATCAGGGCATATGTGACAATGAAGGAGAGCCAGAAACAATCTATGGGGATTCTGGTGGCCAGCCCAAACCACTCCAGGGGGCTGAGGGAAAACCAGGCTTCTTTGGAGGTCATAGAAGGTGATCCATGCGACATAGGCGAACATGCCCATGTAGAGCCGATTCTGGACTGAGTAGATGAGGAAGACACACACCAAGTAGGTCATGACAGCCAGTGTGATGGCTGTATAGTAGCAATACGGTAGCATCTTCCCCACTTCGGTTAAGTTGAAGGGCTTGATTTGTGCCATGTCCATCATTGCTCATTCCAAGTGGCCAACCTCAAAGATCAAGTAGATGTTGGTCACTAGGATCATGTAGACAGCAGCTACAGTGGCCCTGGCCTTGAGGGTCATGCCACAGAACCCTGCCGGGCACAAGATGATCATGTTTTCTCCACAGGCAACGTCGCTGGCCAAGGAAACCGAAGGAGCGTCACAGAGTAGAAAGGCAGAAAGGCAAGCTTAGGAGAGACGTTGGCGGGGCTTGTGTTAGGGATTAAGTGCAGTGAACTCAAGCCTGTGCTGGAAAAGAAAAGGATCAGGTTAAAACATCGTGGGGGTGGGAGGGGAGGGAGAAGTTTGTTTGAATGGGGACATCTGGAAGTAGCCCTTTATATTTCATCTCCATCTTTCATGTCCACCAACAGGAGGCATTTCCAGCCTCTCAAAGGTTAGACTCAGTGAGCAGGTCAGGGCTAACTTACCTCCTTCCGAGAGAGAAAAGGGAGGAGACCTGGTGGATGGATCGGCTGCGATATCTTTGCACCGTCTGGAAGTGATGCCTAGCTACAATGCCACTGACCTAATGGCTGAGAGACCATGTGCTCTTCCCATTGGGACCCTGCTTTGCTAAAGGACTAACTCCTCCAACTCCTCAGCTCACCAGGAACCTATAAAGCAAAGGGAACATAGGAATTGCCAGATGGAATCAAAACCAAGGTCCATCTAGTCCAGGAGCCTTCCTCCAACAGTGGTCTATGCCAGATGCTTCAGAGGAAGATGCAAACAAACAAACAAAAACCAGAAAGTAGCAGTGGGCTAATCTAACAGTTAGAAACTATGGCCAAACAGAAGGCACCTGGCCCAGATACTGGCAGAAACCAAACTATCCACCTGCCTAGAGCCAATAAAAGGTGACTGCTTCCCCCTGCTGGAGACCAGCACCTAGGACAAGGGCCTGGGAGAGGACTTGTCTCCATGGCCAAGAAATCAGTAGTGCTTCCTTGGCCTGTTCGGGCAATGAAGAGATTTCTGACCCCACATCGGGCAGGGATGCATTACTGCCAGCCCTAGATCCTACACTTTAGGATGGGGCGTGACTGTTTGGCTTCCTCCCTTAAAAGAATCCAAAAGTTATGCACCTGCTCAAGTGTTTTCAGGATCAGGGCCTTAGATTGTAGGTTCATTAGGGCAAGAACGGCAGTATTGTCAACTCCCATCATTTTATTGTGATACTTGTGATATTTGGTGTTTTTCTTAAAGCCCCAGCTCCTGGAGGCAAGTGATTTGGTGAGAATGTCAACTTCTGTTTAAAAAAAAAACATTTCTAGCCCTCATGGTTGTGGAGAAAATCCAGAAAACATTACCCAAGTGCCCCCTAAAGGAAAGACAAAGACACCACCCCAGGGATACATTCTTATACACAGGTACAAACAAGTTACACGTCACTCCTGACGTATTGAGGTGCAACCCCTCTATGCAGCAAGGTACAACCCTTCTACGTAGTAAGGTGCCGCCTCTCACCTTGTACATGTTGGTTCGATCAAAACAACTCTATCCATCATTTTACCCTTTTGCCCCTGTCATTGGGATGGGTCGGCCTGTTCCATGTTATCTGTGGAATGTTCCTGTATAGTATGCCTTGGTACCATGTTTATACTTTAACTTTACTAGGTGAATATATATTTATGCAACATCAGCCCTTTCCTTGCCAGCTTCTGTGAGCAGGGCCTGCCTCTGGCTCACAGCTTAACTTTGCTTTATGTTAGCGAAGTCTTGACCATTACTCTAGTTCAGGCCTCAGGCCTCATACTGGGCCCTTATCAGGGCCTTCACTTACTACAGTCGTATACGGCTTGGAGGGTCATTAAGTTTGGCCACCCGTTATAAAGCATGTTTTCCAATAGTTTAATCATTTTCATGGCTCTTCTCTATAAAACTCCCCAATTTTTCAACATCCTCCTTGAATTGTGGACATCAGAACTGGACTGGGAGAGAGTGGAAATGGAAGAGCACTGCAGGGCTGGCCCCTTCCTAAGAGTGACCCATGTACTGCTTCTTGGCAAGACAGTTGGGAATGAAGATTAACAACCATTTGATTGCAGCATGGTTACCATTCTACATTCCAAAACCCACCATCACCACAGGTTTATACATTGGGGAAAAATAAAATCTGGCTCTGCGATGCCTAATTTTGATGATTCATAGTGATTTTTATTTTTAAAATTTATTTATTTATTTTTTCCCAAGTCGCTGGAAATTAAGTGAGGGGAAAGGCTGGGGTTAGGGTAGTACTGGCAGCGGGGCTGCAGGAGGCTTCCTGCAAAGCTGAGAGGCCCAGGACACTGGGTCGCAAGGGGGCCTGTGGTCCTGGTCAGCAGAGCAGAGACTCCCAGGCAGGACTGGAAAGAGAAGAATGTGCCCCAGGCTGCAAAGGAGGCCACCTTGCTGTTGAATGTGTTGCCGGCCCAGAGGGGGCAACAGCGGGGTTCGTTGCCTGGTGTGCGTCGCACTGATAAACACACCAGGGTGGAGAAGCAAACCAAGTTTATTCGAGATCTCAAAAAGGCACTCAGGAGACCAGCATGTCTCAAATCAGAAGCGCAACAAATACAAGCAAGTTTCCCATTTTATATTCCAAGCTGCATGTGTAAGCCTTTTGTTTTGTTTCCCCTCCACCCCTCCCTTCCCGGCAGCAGTTACAGTAGGCACTACATTGTGGCGTGTTAGAAAAGTTCTCGTCCGCATGTTTATCTTTAGCCTTGCTGGCCTAGATGTAGTAGACTTCCCCCTCCCCCTTTTCTTCCTTATCACTACTGCTTTTGCTAGTTTGAGCGAAACTGCAGCTGTCTGCTAAAAACGCTGACTGTTACATGTTCTGCTTCTAAGCTGTTAGCATTTAGGCTGGTTAAAGTTCACAAGATGGAGTTACTTTGGCTCACTTAGACCCAGAGCAGGGGGGTTTCATCGACACTTATGGCCTTCCACCCTCCCGAGTTACCTGGTAGCTATGCCTAGTGGCACCAACAAATGGTTCTTGTCTGGGGACAGAGCCATTTGGCAGTGGGATGGCCTCGCTGTAGCCACAGCTTGTCCTCCTCCTCTCAGTCCTGGCTGGGGGGTTTCTGCTTCTCTGCCAGGACTGAAGCCTTCCCCACATCTCCTTCCTGCAGGGATGGGTTGTCACCTGCCCTGTGGCAGTACAGGGAACCCTCTGTAACCCTGCTGCCATGGGGGTGAGAGAGTGGGGCCATGACAGTGGAGGTGCAGGGGACTCTCTGCGCTGCCACAGGGCCGGTGACACCTGATCCCTGCAGGTGCAAGGGGGTGGGCTACACTTGTACTGAGTGTTACCAACTGCTTCTCCCCCCCGCCCCCAATCGATTTCAGTGTGTGTCAGCTGAAATCAACATTTAGCAACATTGAATCCTGCCAGGACTATTTAGACATTTTTGTAACTGAATGAACGTAGAGACCTAAGTACCATCTCAGCCCTAGAAGGGGTTTCCCCCCCCCGATGGTGTGGGACAGGCTGAATTACAAGTGTACTGCCACTGCTCAGGGCAGCCTGTACCTGTTCCAGAGATAAAGAAAGAACCGGAGTCTCTGGGTTTGTTATTGTGGCACTTTTCACAAGCACTACATCCACTTTGAATAATAAAAAGCCAATGCCTTTCCTTCCCGCTCATGGCTCAAGCTGCCACTCCATCACCTTCTACATTGCGTTGATATGGCAACGTCTGCAAGACTTTAATCAAGATCAACACAGCAGCACTTCCTCGCAATTTCTGACCATATGCCACCTCTGAAAATCCTTTTTCAAAGCTTCCCTGCTTTCTGTTAAGCCCCAAGGTCATTGTTTTTATTCTTTAAACACTCTCTTTATCTTTATGTTATTTCCTTTTCCTTTCCAAATCACACTAGTTTCTTCTCTCAGATACAATATATACCCCTTTGAATAGAGAGACTGGACTGTACCAATTATTTTGGAAACATCCTGAGTAATGCTGAGTACCCACAACTTTTAGGCTAATATGTGGTACAGCAACCCAGCTGAACAGTCACTGTAAATTCTTTCTAGGATTTCACAGAAGCAGCCCCAGTCAAGATGATTTTTGTATGTTTTACATTATAAAGACAAAGAGGGTCAAATACGGGTAAACAGTCTAATATATACACTTCCTGGTAGAGCTGTAAGTTGGATTCAAGGACCTTGTGGAGATAAGATGTTTATGCTGGTTGAATCATTAAGCCATTGGCCTCATGTGTAGCTGAGGAGGCTGAGTCATGTGCTAAGTCGACTCAAAAGCATCATTTGGGGATGAATGGAGAAGAAATTCTCCAAACGGCACCTGAAATTTGATCCCTGATCCAAACATTTTTGCAACTTAAAAATTCTGCTGGTGGATGCAATCCTGCTGATTTAGCTGTGGATGCTTTTGGGAGAAAGTTCCAGAATGCAGGAAAACTCAGAAGAATCTTCATACAGAGACCAGGGTGGTATTTTCTCACCCAGGTGGAAGACTGCTAGTGCTCTGGGAAGTCCAGAAGAAAAGTATTAACTGTGCAAGAGTGAAGCTTTTTTTTAAAAAAGTGGAACATTTCTCTTTTATGGAAGCCATAGAAGAAAGTCTGAAATTTGTTAGAGAATTCTGTGAAGTAGGTTTCATACCCACTGCACACCATCTTACACTGACAGTCTGGAATCATGTTATTGCAGAGTTTTCTGTCTGCATTAGTGTCAGACTCAATCTTGTCTTTACATGTACCCATGTTGGAGGCCTCCATCTCACCCT